TTTCAATAGCTCTAGCTCCAGTTAGCTCTGGTTTCAACAGCTCAAGCTCCAGGCAACTTTGTGAACCTCCATGTGCAGATTTCGTGGCAGGTGCATTACAAAATGCGTTTTCGAGAGATAGCGGACGCACGAAATGCTGTATTTTTCAGTAGAACCGGTGGCTTCGAACCTGGCAAGTCTAGCTCTGCGGAACGACGGTTGCGAGACGGTCTCGGGTCATGGTCGGATCATGCTCGAATCGTTCCTCCATTGTGGTTCGAGTTTTCACTTGTCTCTTGAAGAGCAGATTTCGTGGCAGGCGCAGCACTTTGTGAACCTGCATGTGCAGATTTCGTGGCAGGTGCAGCACTTTGTGAACTTCGAGGTGCAGATTTCGTGGCAGGCACAGCACTTTGTGAACCTCCACGCGCAGATTTCGTGGCAGGCGCAGCACTTTGTGAACCTCCGGGCGCAGATTTCGTGGCAGGCACAGCGCGTTGTGAACCTCCATGCGCAGATTTCGTGGCAGGGACAGCACTTTGTGAACCTCCATGTGCAGATTTCGTGGCAGGTGCAGCACTTTGTGAACCTCCATGTACAGATTTCGTGGCAGGTGCAGCACATTGTGAACCTCCATGTGCAGATTTCGTGGCAGGTGCGAACCTCCATGTGCAGATTTCCTGGCAGGTGCAATACAAAATGCGTTTTCGAGAGATAGCGGACGAACGAAATGCTGTATTTTTCAGTAGAACCGGTGGCTTCGAACCTGGCAAGTCTAGCTCTGCGGAACGACGGTTGCGAGACGGTCTCGGGTCATGGTCGGATCATGCTCGAATCGTCCCTCCATTGTGGTTAGAGTTTTCACTTGTCTCTTGAAGTGCAGATTTCGTGGCAGGCGCAGCACTTTGTGAACCTGCGTGCGCAGATTTCGTGGCAGGTGCAGCACTTTGTGAACTTCGAGGCGCAGATTTCGTGGCAGGCACAGCACTTTGTGAACCTCCATGTGCAGATTTCGTGGCAGGTGCAGCTTCTCCAAACCTCGACGGGGAAGCTCCCCGGAACGACGGTTGCGAGACGGTCTCGGGTCATGGTCGGATCATGGTCGGATCATGCTCGGAATCGTCCCTCCATTGCGATTAGAGGTTTCAGTTGTTTCTTGAAGCGCAGATTTCATGGCAGGCACAGCGCTTTGTGAACCTCCATGTGCAGATTTCGTGGCAGGCGCAGCACTTTGTGAACCTCCATGCGCAGATTTCGTGGCAGGCGCAGCACTTTGTGAACCTCCGTGTGCGACTTTGTAGTACAACTTTAGTATGCGGAGTATCTGCGGAGCTGGAAGATGAGAACTGGCGACTTTGTAGTACAACTTTAGTACGCGGAGCAATCTGTGGAGCTGGAAGCTGAGAACTGGCGACTTTGTAGTACAACTTTAGTACGCGGAGTATCTGGGGAGCTGGAAGATGAGAACTGGCGACTTTCTAGTACAACTTTAGTGCGCAGAGCAATCTGTGGAGCTGGAAGCAGAGAACTGGCGACTTTGTAGTACAACTTTAGTCCGCGAAGCACTCTGGGGAGCTGGAAGCTGAGAACTGGCGACTTTGTAGTGCAACTTTAGTACGCGGAGTATCTGGAGAGCTGGAAGATGAGAACTGGTGACTTTGTAGTGCAACTTTAGTACGCGGAGTATCTGGGGAGCTGGAAGATGAGAACTGGCAACTTTGTAGTACAACTTTAGTACGCGGAGCAATCTGTGGAGCTGGAAGATGAGAACTGGCGACTTTGTAGTACAACTTTAGTACGCGGAGTATCTGGGGAGCTGGAAGATGAGAACTGGCAACTTTGTAGTACAACTTTAGCACGTGGAGCAATCTGTGGAGCTGGAAGATGAGAACTGGACTTTGTAGTGCAACTTTAGTACGCGGAGTATCTGGGGAGCTGGAAGATGAGAACTGGCGACTTTGTAGTACAACTTTAGTACGCGGAGTATCTGTGGACCTGGAAGATGAGAACTGGCGACTTTGTAGTACAACTTTAGCACGTGGAGCAATCTGTGGAGCTGGAAGATGAGAACTGGCGACTTTGTAATACAACTTTAGTACGCGGAGTATCTGTGGAGCTGGAAGCTGAGAACTGGCGACTTTGTAGTACAACTCTAGTGCGCGGAGCAAGCCGTGGAGCTGGAAGCTGAGAACTGGCGACTTTGTAGTACAACTTTAGTACGCGGCTGAGTCATCTCTATTCTGTATTTTGCAAAAATGCATGAACAACGTTTTGTCCTGCGAGACAGTTGACGGTGGTTGCTTCGCTTTCGCTCCAAGTTGGTTCCAACTTGTTTTGTCAAAGAACATCGCAGCTCGGCGAATCAGCCTGCCACTTCCTATAGGTTTATTCTTTTGGAAACTTCCGCCGCCGGCTTGCCCGGGAACTACTTGTATATCTATTACAGTATATACTTGCGAGTCAAGAGCTGCTTGCAGCGATCTCTCCATCTCTCATCATATCGAATCATTGTCTCTTTGATGGTCCCTTTACTATCTAGAGGCATGTGACAGTGCATAGATCGAGCGAAAAGGTGCCTCTACTGACTCCAAAGTTGACGCAAGGACTCGGCTCAGCTCTGAACCCACTAAGGCTGCACATGCGATCATGAGCGTCACCTGAAAATGTCAACAGAAACAAGTCGAACAAGAAAACATGGAAAACATGATCCTTCAGTTCTGCAATCCACCATTGAACTATGTGCCACCTGGAGGGCTTCTCTGCCAGCGTCTGAATACCTGACCGGGATGCAAGTCCATAAACCCCGACGATTCAGGTCCCGAATCTTAACGAGTTCAGAAGCCATCGGCTCACAATCCATCAGCGTCACATTCTCTACCTCAAACACGTGCTATCAAAGTTTCTTGCTTCCATAGAGATGCCCAGCTGCAGGCTGAGGAAAGGACTTGCTGCTGCACAGCCAAAAGCCGAAAGTAGAATCGCCAAACAAGTCCATACCTAGCTTCAACATGCTTGAAGTAGCTTCTATGAAGGCGCTGGCACTGATACAATCCTTTTTGTCTGCCTACTCCTCCTAAACAGACAAGGTCACCAATGCTATGTACAGCTTGCTGTCAAGCTAAGTTCACAACCATGGCTGGCTGCCCAGTCCCTGCTATTTAGGGGTGCTGTAGTGGCGGAATGGAAGTTGAGAAAGCTCATTCAACGCTATTTCGTTCGGATGCCGAGCAGGTGGATGCCCATGGCCTTGAATCGCATCACCAGAACCACACTTTACCATTTCCTCAGCATTTGAATAATGTTTCAAAATTATTCCCTTGCTAGTCAGCTAGTGTACCTTCTGACTGAGACAGTCACGGAAATTGCCGAGGAGTTCAAGACTCCTGTGTTTCTTGTGAGTCGGAATGTAGTTCGGCCTCATGCCAAAGGTACAAAGCTCAGCAAAAAGGCTACGTTACCAGATTGCACTTGAATACACTTAGGGCATGGCTTCAAGCGAAATACAGAGTCGCTGAGCCAAACAGCAACAGAAACGCTTGGACATGAAGAGCAAAATGATTGAAGTCCATTGGTTTTAAGATCTTCAAATACATACATACATACATACATACATACATACATACATACATACATA